ATTTCTGATTTCATTTTTCCCAGATCCTCTTTTGTTGCCAGTTCAGAGAGTCCAGGTGGTTGAGTATCAGATTGTTCCATCTCGTTTCCCTTTGGGGTTGCTGGAGGTGATGTGGAAGTCTGTTTTTGAGGCTTGTTTATGTGTCTTCTCGTGGGGCGGGGCAGGTGCTTCTGGCACCCATGCAGCTCACCTTCTGTGCCCTAGGAGCTTGGGATGGCAGCAGGGGAGCTTCCTTCTGGGTGCTGGGACCGATTCATCTTCTCTGCCCTAGGAGCCTGGGATGGAGGCGGGGAGCTTCCTTCCAAGTGCTGGGACCGGCTGAGCTTCACTGCCCTAGGAGCCTGGGATGGAGGCGGGGAGCTTCCTTCCAAGTGCTGGGACCGGCTGAGCTTCACTGCCCTAGGTGCCTGGGATGGAGGCGGGGAGCTTCCTTCCGGGTGCTGGGGCCGGCCCAGCTTCACGGCCCTAGGAGCCTGGGATGGCGGTGGGGGAGCTTCCTTCTGGGTCTTCCTGCTGCATGTTAATCTGACATGTTCTGGCTTTTTATATATAGGCCTGCGTTTAAGGTTGAGTGCTTTTCTCATTGAGCCTAATATGGCCTTTCCTTTCTTTCTTTAGTGTTTCACAGACATGAGTCAGGAATCTGACCCAGCAGACAAAAATTTTACCAGTTACTAGAGGGTATTCAATATAAAACTTGTTTACCAGGAATGACAGAACAAAAATACAAAAGGACAACTAAAATTTCAAGAAGGTTGTAACTTCAGGGAGTGTTTACCATTGCTAGCTCTTAGCGAACATACAGACAGGGTTGAAACCAGTGTCTTAGAAGCTGTGGCTACTTCATGAAGTTGTAGCTTGGACCACAAGGAGAGGGTTCTGATTTGCTCCTTTGCTTCTGAAGTTCACAGGAGGGACCTCCGGGGAGGGAGGCACTGCCTGGCTGATGCAAGTGCCTCTGAAGGAACCCTTTGAAGCTGAGATTCAGCCTTTTGAAGAAAGGGTTCTAACCTGGCTGGTTGTGGAGTCAGGAGAATGAAAGGACAAGTTGATGCTGGTTCTGGAAATTTTGGAAAAACTGAAAACTGCTATTAATTGCTGTTAAATGGAACAAGGTGCTTCTGCCAGGTGAACTGTTGTCAGGGTGATGCTGACTGGAACAGGAAACATAAATGAATGTGCCTTCCTTTATCCTTCCTAAAAAGGAGTCAGCTGTCAAGAACTATGTTTTGTGGAGACATTAACCCCAGCATTATAAGGGTAATGCAAATGTGGGTTAGAAGCTGAAAGATAGCTTAGTAAAAATCATTCCTTTAGAGCTCCTAATCGAGGGACTCAAAGGAGGACAATTTGTAGAGATTGAAGAATAAAAGAAACCTCACAGATAGGCGTGGTAGCACACATCTGTAATCCCATTACTTGGGAGACTGAGACAGGTGAGACCTGCCCCCACCTCTCTATTCCCATAAAAAGAAAAAAAAATCCACTTTTCCAAGGAACCCCTTATGCACTTTCCCTTTGAGGCTTCTGTGATTTGGGATCTTAGTTGGTGAGTTAACTTACATTTTAGAGGCAACAAAGTGAGGCCTGGTACCACTGTCTTCAACACTCACATTCTGTGTTCAGGAGGGCGCATGGCATGTTCACATAATTGAGGTGTAATATTAGAATTGATTTTTTTTTTTTTTTTGTTACCGGGGATCGAACTTAGGACCTTGCGCTTGTAAGGCAGGCGCGATGCCACTGGGCTAAATCCCGGCCCAGGGTGTTCCTCTTTAGTCGTATATATTCAAGTAATTTCCAATAAAAGTGAATAGTTTTAGAATACTTTCTTTCTTTTTTTTGGTACCAGGGATCGGACTCGGGATCTTGCGCTTGTGAGGCAGGCAGTGGAACCACCGAGCTGAATCCCTGGCCCTAGAATACTTTCTATTAAGCAGTTTGCTGTAGCAACATCAGTAGGATTTGCTGCAAAGGATTCTTTTGCTTCTTTGTGAAGTTGATATGTATTTCTGTTAATAACATTGTTGGTGACTGAATACTTTTCAGAAGATTTATTTATCTTGAGGATTAATGAAACAAGTGAAAGTTTGAGATGCTTAGTTGAGTAAAAATTTGCCTCTGTATTTTGTTTTTTCTTTATCCCCTTTAAGATGTTTTGTCCTTCTAAAATAAAGTAACTTCAAAGTAGCACAAAAAAAGAAGCAACTATGTCATTAAAGAGATTATTATACTCATGGTCTAGTGAAGTTTGGTAATTGAGTTACTTTACCAGTTAGTATGAATTTTTCTGTAAAATTTATCAGTGCATGTGTAATTTTTAAATTTCTAAACCCAGTTTTCTTGATGGAAAAGTAATTTCTAGCCAAATGTTGTGACTCACGTTTGTAAACTCAGCTTCTTGAGGCAGAAGGATCACAAGATCAAGGGAGGCCTGGGCAGCTTAGCAAAACCCTGTCTGAAAAAAACAGGTGGGTCAGGGATTTAGCTCAGTGGTGCCGCCACCTGCCTTGCAAGCTCAGGGTCCCAAGTTTGATCCCCTAGTACCAAAAAAAAAAAAAAAGAGGTGTAGGATTTAGCTCAGTCATACAGTACCTGCCTAGAATGAATGAGGCCCTAGGTTCATCCCCAGTAACACACACACACACACACACACACACACACACACACACACACACACAAGTGATTTCTAAATTTTACAGATTTTTTATACTCAATCTATGTCAAAAGTGAGGATAGCTTATATATAAAACTTTATTTGAATGATTATGTATTTTATTTCAAAGAATATGATTAGAAATTCAATCCATATTTGGTTTATTCCTGGTTCAGCCTTCACTGAGCATCAATTTATGTGTTAAAAAACTTTCTTAAGGTCTTGTTTGTACAGCTTGTTGCTACCTCTGGTGGGTAGAGACCATAATCCTGATTGGAAGACTGGGAAAGCTCTGGCAGGAAGTGGGATTGGGGCTGGTAAATTTGGGAGGTTGACATCCTAGATAGAAGAAAAGAACATTGCTTAACCAGTGGCCCCTGTGTGAGGCTTGTTTTGGGAGATTCATAAGATTCATGCAAATTGCAGCAGGAGAGGGCTAGGAATGGAAATAAGAACCAGACTCTGGAAGTTGTTTTTAATTTTGTGTTTGTGGTATCAATAATAAATACCCCAATAAGGGGTATTTAAGTAAGTAAGGGGTATAGTATTTTGGGCAGGTAACTGATGACAGTATGCAAAATGAACCACAGCTAGGACAGATGAAAGGGAAGATTGTAGGAATTCCTGAGAGTATGCACGAAGAATCCATGACGGTATGAATCAACTGGGAGAAACTGTTAAAATACAAATTTCCTGACCCATTCCAGCACCACTGTGTCAGAATCTCTAGGGAAGAACCTTGAGAGCTGTATCTTTAATGAGTGCCCATATAAATTTTCATTTCAAGATATTTAGGAAACAGTTTTAGGTAGTTTCAGTTTGTTTAGGTATTACATTCTTTGAACGTTTGTCAAAATGCCTTAAGTTAAAAGAAACACTATGGGTATCTTTTCTTGGAAAGCACTTCCTCAAAGTTTATGATTTAAAATTTTAGAGAGTATCATTTTGTATTATTTCCTCAACTTTGTTTTTCTGTCATTTAATTTTTATTTTATTTTCTGTCTTTTGGGCTGTCATTTCAACTTCAAAGGTTTGGAATGCTTCCTCCCTCCCCTCCTAGTTGCTCTTTTTCCTGTGGGACTCTTCCTACCCTGCTTCCCTCTCTGGCAAACCCAACCCTTACAACTTCTGAAACCATGCTATAGTACAGGTTTATGGGTTAGATTTGTGTATGAGGGAGGTTCTAGTGGTATTTGGAAACCTTAGAGAAATTAGCTCCTAAGCTGGTGCTTTAAGGATTTCTTCCCTGTTAGTGTTTCCTAAGTGAAAATCCTTGAGGGAAGTATCTGATTTCTTATTTCTTTTAGTGTTTTGATGTGTCTTAGGTTTCTTCCTCATGGTTAAAGGTATGAGAGGAAGTTGGAGGGGATATATTTGTTAATTTTAGGCCAAACTGATTATAGGGTCTTACTATGTTGCCCACGGTGGCCTTGAACTTTTTGATCCTCCAGCCAGCCTTGTTCACCGGAGTAGATGAGATTACAAGCATGCACCACCACGCCTGGGCTAGTACTTCTGGATTATATTCAATGTAAGATGCCTTGGATTTTAAAGCATATCATTACTTTATAGACCATTTTAAAATAAAAGGCTGTTAATCTAAATATTCACGCTAAAAATGCCCTTTGATTATGTAATGCATCTCTAAGATTTTACCTGAAAAAGTGGTCCTCTTAGAGAATTTATGAGATAGGATATTCTTTTGCTATTTAGTCATGATGACTTATAATACTTGTGCTATTAACTCCTGTACAAAAAGGGGAGAAAGGAGAATTTGGTGAAAGGGTCTTGTAGATTAGGGGAAAGAATGAAGAACATAAACTACTAAAAAGTAGTACTGTGTAAAGGCATTTGATCAGTATTTTTGATAAATTTTGTTTTAGTTTATTTTTGTTTTTATCCATTATTATGAAATGTAGATCACTGGTTGTGAATGGTAGATCAGAATCTTAAATTTTTTCATTAACTTATGTAAGAAGTTAAACAGTTTACACTACAGCATTCTTCAATCATTGTATTTTCTAGCTGCTCAGTTTATTTATTCACAACGTGACAAACCTTCAGTTGCTGAGCCTGTAGAAGAGTGTTGTGACGATCTGAAAGATTCTTCTAATTCTCTTTCACACCAACAGCTAAGTGGATTTGATCAAGGTATAGTAAAAAGTTATATATGTATGTTGTTTACTAGAAAGTGATTAATAATCAAATATAGTTTATGAATTTTATTGTGATTATTCATAATGCTGACTCTGGATAATAATGATACAAGCATCTTATATCCAAAGAAAATTTACACTTGATTAAATATATTGTGAGTAGTATATTTAGCTGTGTGATTGCAGAATTGGTTGCATGGGTTTTGTTTAGTATCTGAAATTCAGTATCTCAGAATCTGAAGAACTATTCCATTCGTTCATCTTTTCCAGAGGAAAAAACTGCAGTGATTTGTTACAAGAGCTCTATGTGGAGCTCATGATTAGATTACAGAAATATCGTTATTTGCAAAGATGTTAATTACCAAAAGAAAAACAGTGGAAGACCAAAATAACAAGTGTCTTGATTGTTCACTTCTGTGCACATTAAGTTTCAAGATAAACTAAATGGTAATGCCATTGGTTGAGTTTGGTTATTTTCAATTCTTTTAAACGTTTTAACAAAAATGTTTATACTAAAAAACAAAACAAAACAAAAAGCCAAAAATGTTTATACTTTGGCTTTCTTTTATAAAAAAGTTCCAAATATAATATTGCTCAAGATGTCATTCAAAGCCATTGACTGATAGCAGAGCCGAAAGAGCCAAATAAATTAGTAATACCACCTACTGAGCGGTGCCAAGCTGATTTCCTCTTTCTCTGAGGTGTGACTTTCTTCTATAAATGCTTTCAAATTGAAAGTTTATAATTAATTTGAAAACAGAAAAAATATAGAAATCCATGAGCGGATTTTTGAATATTTCAATAAATTTATACCAGTTAAATCAAGAAAAAATTGGAAAGCATAAATACACAAAATTAGAAAGCAGAAAGAGAGACAACTGAGATGAAAAATTTTTTTATCAACTCTGCAAAAACATTTGTAAATCTAATCAAGTTTGTAGAGGAGGTATTCTGTAAACTTCTTAGAATTATTTAATTGTAACTATTGTGGGATGAGAGGATAGAAATAGTACTAGTAGAATTCTATGTCTCAGTGGACAATGAATACACAGTTTATGAAATTCAGAGTTATATTTGAGAGGAAAGTTAACCTTTCAGCCAGCCGGACATACATAAGTAATTGCCTGATGATGACAGTAATGATTGTGGCTCCCTTTTTCTAAATGTTGTCCAGGTACTGTTCTAGGTGCTATTCATAATATTTTAAGATGAAATTTTAATATATTTGATCTTAACAACCTTATGAGGTAGAATAGTTACTGTCCTCATTTTACAGGGGAGGAAAGTGAGACACAGAAAAGAACTTGGGTAAGGTTATACCAGCTAGTAAGTGGCATTTAGGATGTGAACTAAGCCAGTCTACTACTGGCTACCACTGTAACTTCTACTTTTCACCTCTTCAGTACACTGGCTCTTTGTGTATGTGTAAAAAATAGTTTATGGTTAACTAGAAATTCTGATGCTAGCTATGCCAAGTATTCTGTTCCAGTTTCAGTATTCATGCTTTCATCAAATAGGTATTATTTCCCCAATATCACTTATTTACTTTTTAAAACAAAACCTACATTGAAGCAAAGCAGAATTGCCCAACTATTTGATGCATCTATTTATTTATTTTTGAGATACAGATTCACTATGTAGTCTAGGCTGGCCTCAAACTGATGGTCCTCCTGCCTCAGCCTCCCAAGTGCTGGGATTGCCTATAATAAATTGAATTTATTAATTTTTAAAGAAATTTATTAATTTTTAATAAATTGAGAATTTATTTGAAATAATTAAAAAATGGAGCAAGTTATCAAATACTCTTTCAAAAGAAGAAAAGTTATTGCTAGTAGATATCTTGTACACATGTAAGCATGTAAAGTGCAATGTAAATTACATTGTGAAATGGTTTTGTGAAGTAGGAAATGCAAAAACCTCAGCTGTGTTTGACTGTTGCTAACTTAGGAATACTATGATTCCCCTTATTCTTGTCTTTATAAATTAGAATTTGCCTGGTATATCTAGCTAGCTCATAGAGTTATTGTGAAGTAAACAAAATACAAAAGGTATGTTGTGTATGGGTGTTTGTGGTATGGTAAATTGCCAAATGTTACATATTTATATATATTCATTCATTTTTATTTACTGGCTCCTAGGTACCAAGTTCTTTTTAGGTTCTAGGAATACAAAGCTTCTCATCTCATTGACTTTATATTAATATTGTTAATAATTACTTTTTATAATAATGCCATAAAGAATTAAAAAGAAAATTAAAATTAAAAACAATTTAGACAATTTAAGGTTTAATTTCATTGTTTTATTTCGTAGGCCTGGAGATTGAACCCAGGGCTTCATGCGTGCACATGCTCTACTACTGAGCTATATCCCCAGCTCCTCAACTTTTTATTTTAAAAATAAATGTTCATTCTCTTCTTAATCTGCTGGTCTTCCTTATTTTTTGTCTGTCTTGCTTTTAAAGAGTCATTAAGATGATTTTAGGGGCCAGGGATTTAGCTCAGTGGTTCCGCCGCTTGCCTCTAAAGCGCAAGGTCCCTAGTTCCCCGGTACCAAAAAAAAAAAAGAATGATTTTAGTCATTAAGAATGGCGAAGAAAACTGAAGTTAGACTTAAGGAAAACTCACCAGTGTTCAGTAACAAGTTAGAAATAGTTTCACATTGACTTCCTTTCTGTGCAGGTAAAAAAAGTGGTCAGCTGGGGCCGGGGATTTAGCTCAGTGGTTCTGCCGCCTGCCTTGCAAGCGGAAGGATCTGAGTTCGATTCCCGATACCCCCCCCCCCAAAAAAAAAAGTGGTCAGTGCATATACTGTCATCATCCTTGTCTGAAAATAGATACTAGGGCAATGGTGGTGAACCTATGGCACATGTGATATTGTGTTTTTCTTTTAAGACAAAAGATGTGAGTTATTTTTTCTAAGCAAAAACCTCAATATTCAGGTTTAATTGCAGTGTTGTCATTTTGTGATAAATAAGAGGGTTTTGGGTTTCAGTTTGGGCACTTGGTCTCTAAAAGGTTCGCCACTACTGTATTAGGGTATACCATTTATACTTTTTTCAAGCATTAGTATTGTTCAGGAGACCTGTATCATAATCATGGACTGAAAATAGGTATTAGGACTTACAATTTATGCTTTTTCCCCCAAACATTAGTATCATTCAGGAACATTTATTACAGTGACTTCTTAGTGGAATTGTTCATTTGATAGGGGAAGACAGACACATTTTATTGTTTTTTTACTTTATTTTTTAATTCTTAAGTTCTTTTACTGGTACAGTTTAGGTATACAGTACGTTTACATTTATCATTGGGTGCTTGTACCTGTACATGATGTATCTTGATTCTTATTTTTTCCCCATTACCTGTGCACCATTCACTCTCTCCACCCTTCCCTATTTACATAGATATCATTTCCATTTTTTTTTCTTTTCTCATAATTTTTCCTTTCCCTTTCCTTTCCCCTTTCCCTCTCTTCACCCCTACCTCTTTGGATGTTTTTTCCTATTTCAAATAATCAATTATTTATTTTAATCATTTT